CTTATGCCTGGCTCCCCTAGGGCTCCCTGAATCTTCCTGCTCACCTTCGAGAATCTTAGCATGATTGGAAGAACCATCAGTTCTGCACCTGGTATATACCCAAGAGAACTGAAAATGTATTTTCACGTAGAAACTTGTATGTGAACGTTCATAGTACTTATATTCATCATAGCCAAAAGTGGAAACAACCCAAATATCCATCAACCGGTGAATAAATAAACAGATCATGGAATGTTTAATGGAATTTTATTTTGTCCTAAAAAAAGGTGTAAAGTCCTAATACATACTACAACATGGATGAATCTTGAAAATATACTGAGCAAAAGAAGCCAGACACAAAAAGACATATTGTATAACTCTAGCTACATAAAATGTTAAGAACAGGAAAATTCATAGAGATATAAAAAAAGGAGGGTACCAGAGGCTGGGGAAAGGAGATTTGGAGTGACTGCTTCTAGATACTGGGTTTGTTTACTGGAGTGATAGGAATATTCTGGAATTAGTGGTAATTCCACTAATGAGGAAGCCATTTTTTTCTGGTAATGGTTGCAGAGTATTATGAAAATGCTCAAAACCACTGGATTGTTCACTTTAAAATGGTGAAAGGTTAAATGAATTATAATTCAAATTAAAATTCTAAGGTTCTGAAGAAGATGACAGGATGAAGAAGAGAAAGGAGGAGGAGCAGGAGGAGGGGAAAAGGGAAAGGAAGGAGGAAGCCATGGTTTAGATTGTGGGGTCCCCAGAGCCTGGTGTGTTAAGGGCTTGATCACCAGCTATCGGAGCTCTCGGGATCTGGTGGAACCTCTAGGAGGTGGGGCCTCTAGGAGGTAGAAAGGAGTTGGGGAATATTGGGCTCTTGTTCTTTCCTCCTCTTTCTCTGCTACCCAACAACCATGAGGTCAGCAGCTTTGCTGACCACACAGTCCTGGCCATGATGTTCTGTCTCATCATGGGCCCCAAATGGCAGGCCCAAGTAATCATGTCTGAAACTTTTGAAACCAGGAGGTAGCCAAAATAAATCTTTTCTCTTTTGAAGTTGATTATCTCAAGTATTCTGTCACAGCAATGAAAATCTGACCAACACAAAGAAAGGAGGACCCATTGGCTTTGAGTTGTTAGCCTTGAGCCCTTCCTTCCCCTTCTAAGTGGTCTAATCTAACCCCAGGCCCTCTGCCTGCTCTCTTCAGTTCTGAGGGTCCATCACCCTGGCAATGAGCCGGAGGCTGAGAAACCTCCGACCAGGCCTTGTTTTTCCTAACCCCGGAGCCTTGAACTCAGCTCTACCCATGCTCTGAGTGATGACTGCTGAGCAAACACCCCACCCCTCTGTGGGTCCCCTGACAGAAGTTGCCAGAGGAAACTCTTACCTGAGTCACTTCTGAACGGTGGACACTCCTGAAGAAGCCTTTTATTCTGAAGTCAGTTTATTTCCTTGGAGAATATGAACCTTAGACTTTCTGTTAGTCAACTTTTCGTCTCAGGGACCACAATACCCAACGAGAACAACTGAGAGGAGGAAAACTTGATTATGGCTCATGGTTTCAGAGGTTCAGTCCATGGTCGGCCAGCTCAATCCCATTGGACCCTAGGGAGGAGGAACCTCACAGAAGAAGGGCATGGCAGAAGAACACTGTCCATGGTAGCTTGGAAGCAAAGAGAGAGGAAAGGGAAGGGGCCACAGGGAAGATGAACCTTCCAGAGCATAGCCCTGTGACCCACCTCCTCCAGGCTCCCGACCTGCCTACAGTTACCACCCCTTCAGTCCTTTCAAACGGATTAAGTTTCAGATCTCATCATCCAATCGTCTCACTTCTGAATATTCCTGCATTGGCACGGGAGCTTTTGGAAGACACTATGTCTGAACCAAAACAAACTTTGTTCTCAAAAAATAAGGATACCTTATTATTATGGGATTGAAGTATGTTCACCCCAAAATATATGCTGGAACCACAACTCGTTAACACTTACAATGTGGCCTTACTTGGAAATAGGGTCTTTACAGAGATGATGGATTTAAAATAAGGTCGGTAACATGGGCCCAAATCCAATATGCCTGCTATCCTCATAAGGAGAGAAATTTTGGACAGAGATACACAGATACATAGGGAAGACCACATGAGGAGACACAGGGAGAAGATGACCGTAATACTGAGTGACACAGAGGGGCAAGCTAAGGGATGCCAAGGATCTCCAGCAAACATCAGAATCCAGAAGAGACAAGGATTCTGTCACCTGTACAGCCATCAGAGAAAACATGTCCCCTGCTGACGCCTTGATCTGGGACTTCTCACTGCCAGAATTGTGACATGAGTTTCTACTGTTTTAAGCCAAGTAACTTTAGCACTTCATTATGGCAGCTCTGGGAAACCAACACACATGTGAGAATATAGAGTCGCTGGAGACCGGATGGCAGATTCACTGGATTCAGAAAGACATCATTGGTTACTAATCATCGGTAGAAACCAGCTAGCAATACATGCAACAGCTCCAGCACATCAAGGGAATGATACTTAGTGGGAAAAAAAAAATTACATCTAAAGGTTACATATTGCATGCTTCTATTTATATAACATTCTTGAAATGACAGAATTATAAACATATTGGTGGTTGGCAGAGCTTTGAGAGAAGGGGAGAGAGGTTAATGGCTGTGGCTATAAAAGGCCATTCATTAGGGATCCTTCAGTCAGAACTATTCTGTATCTTGATTGTAGTGGTGTCATACACATCTATACATGTGACAGAATTGCATACAACTAAATGCACACAAATGCTTGTGAAACTGGCAAATTGGAATGTCTGTAGGCTATATCAATGTCAATATCCTGGTTGTGATGTTGTACTGTAGTTATTCAAGATGTTGCCAGGGGGCCCACCTGTAATCAGTGACTCTGGAGGCTGAGGCAGGAGGGTCCCAAGTTCAAAGCCAGCCTCAGCAACTTAGTGAGACTGTCTCAAAATTTAAAAATAAAAATAAAAAAGGGAGGGGGATTTGGCTCAGTTGTTAAAGGCCTTTGGGTCCAATTCTTAGTGAAAAAATAAAAGTAACCATTGGGGGAAAATGCATATAGGGTCTACTTGTTTTCTTTGTATTATTTCTTACAACTACATGTGAATCTATAGTTATTTCCAAATTTTAAAAAGTTTTTTTTAAAGTAGCTACAGGTTATGTCAATGTAACCCAAGAAAGTAGTTGTCATTGAATATGAATGAAATTGAAACTTATTTCCATCTAAGTACAATTCAAGATGTGTTGGGTCTCTTTTTTTAAGGGATAGGGAAACAAAGTGAAAACTTCAAAAAATCATCTGGATAAAAAATAAAGCAAGAACAGTAAAGGAACTTTGTCATTCCTGTGTTGGAAACTCAAGTCTATAATGCAATAGTGTTATGGGGACTCTGCCCTGGAGAATAGATCAATGGACCGTTATCCCCAGAGTGGGTTCCTGACACAGGGAGAGTTCAGCAATGTCTCTGTGTCACTGCTCTTGCTCTCCACTGGAATGTTCTTGTTCTCCCACCTTCTACCATCAGAAGGCCCTTACCAGATCGAGGCCCCTAAACTTTGGACTTCCCAGTATCCAGAACTGTAAGAAATAAATCCCTGTTTTTATTAATTACCCAGTCTCAGGTATTCTGTTACAGTGACAGAAAAAGGACTAAGAGAGGCACAAGACTTGGAAAATAAGCTGGCAGCATTTGTATAAAAGAAAAAAGTCTGGGCTCAATGGTAGAGCACTTGACTGGCATGTGTGAGGCAATGGGTTCCAGCCTCAGCACCACATAAAAATAAAAATAAAGTAAATGCACTGTGTTCATCTACAACTAAAGAAGAAAATTTTAAAGAGAGAAAGAGACAGAGAAAAGTCTTTAAACTATTTCCTGCCAATCAAGAATTCCACAGTAGAAAATTTATTTTTAGACAAACTTAAATTCACTAGGTGAATTTTGTAGAAAGATATTCACTGCAATGTTATTTTAAATAAGAACTAAGAGAGGGAGTGTTAAACTATGATAATTTGCTGCCACTAAAATGTTTTCAAGGAGTTTGTAATAATAGGGAAATCCTTATTTTTGTAAGTTCAAAGACTATAGAAAGGGTCATTTTAGGCATAATGTGATTAATATGCCTTCAATAAAACCTGGATATGTTTGACAGTATCAAGGAATATTAATTTTTTATTTTCCCTCATCATCTGTACATACTTAAGAATTCAGGGAGGAAATGAAAGGATATCTAAGCTTGCCCCAGTTGGAGATGGGAGCTATTCCTGCTTAGATGAGAGAGTGGGTCTCCTGTGGTCACTGCCATGCCAGGTGTTGAGTACCTTGATTACATTATGCCACTCTTTTTTTTTTTCTTTCTTTCTTTTTTGGTGGTGCTGGGGACTGAGCCCAGGGACTTGTGCATGCTAGGCAAGCACTCTACCAACTGAGCCATATCCCCAGCCCCACTCTTTCTGCTTTTAATGTTCGAAACTGTCCACAATAAAAGAGCCTGAAGCACACAAAACGCTGGCATTGGACCATGGGCGTTTTCCAATCCTCTGAATTATTGTATGTGTTGCTGGGGATTGAACCCAGGGCCTTCTGTGTGAGAGGCCCGCATTCTACTAACTGAGCTATATCCCCAGCCCTGTGCATATTTCACACTCATCATGTTAATCATAAACTTTTTAGTGAAAAGGGAGCAAGTATAGGCAAAGCCTTCTCCTTCCATTGTGCCTGGGGAGTGGGAAATAACCTCAATCCACACATCATTCAAGTCTTTTCAAAGAGAATTTGTATGTATTCTTTCACAAAAGCCGCATAATCATACTGGGAGATTTTATTTAGGAAGCCACAGGTGGAAGCGAAGGAATGTCTGGTCTTACTAACTCCACGCCTAGACTTGGGCATTTCCGACCGCGCTTCGGAATTTTCCCAGCACAGAGCAGGCCTGTAAAAGAGGTTGGTAGACTGGGAGAACTAGTCTAGGGAAATAAAAACAAGCACAAAGATGGGTTCCTCTCCTCCTGTTCTTCCAGCCCCGACCCCTTCAAACATTTGACATTATTTTGGGGGAAGAAAGAAGAGCCGGAACAAGGCAAAGTGGCGGAGTCAGTCGCGGCCACCGCTGGAGGGAGCAGGTAGCCAGTACCGCGTTCCCACCGCCCCTGCCCGCGGGAGCCACACGGGACAACACCTCCTCAGTCTCCCACCCACGCGGAGCGCAGATTGACAAACGCAGTGCCACCTGAGGGAAACTTGGGAGTAGGAGTAGTAGGAGCTACCAGAAGACAGGAGCGAGGGGAGCCGAAGAAGTCAGGAGTGAACGCCGAGCCGCAGAGTGTACAAGAAGGAGTTTGCCCTTGGTTGGCTGTGCACTGCCTCTGCATGGGACACTAGCCCTAAAAGACTTTGGGAGTCCCCAGGAGCGAGAAGGGGAAGATGCTGGGCTTGAGCAGGTGAGGTCCCTAGTACTCTCTGCGCACTGCCCGGGGCTCTCCCGCTACAGGAGCGATGGCGCAGGGGTCACGGCGGCTGCCGGGGCTTCTTCCAAAGTTGGGGTGGGGATGCTGAGTCACTGATCTGTCACTACTTTGCACCTCTCCTCAGCCCTCCGGGGGCTAAAGCAAAAGCGAAAGCGAATGCGTCTGGCGGGCGGCCGGTCCTGGAGCTGCGCTCGCCACTTTCCCGAGGCTGGGGCATTGCACTCGCGGCTGTCCTGGGGCGTCCTGGCGGGGCACCGCGGGCCGCGCGGCCATGGCCCGGCGGCGGTTCCTAGGCTCTGGAGTACACGCCCTCCGTGGACTACTGCTGCTGCTGCTGCTCCGGCTGCCGGTGACGCCGGGTAGGGAGCGGCTTGCGCTCGGGCGGGGCTGCGAGCGAGGCCGGGGCACCGAGCGGGATGGCACCGAGCGCCCCACCTCCCCGGGCCGGGCCAGAAGTCGGGCCCCGGAGGAACGCGGAGTGTGCTGACTCCGGGCGGGAGGGACACGTGGAGGAGTCGTGGAGAGGGCAGGGAAGAGCGCCGCCGTCTGCCCTGCTCCAACGAGCAGAGCTGCCAGCTGCGCACGCAGGAAGGAGAAGCCGGGTTTGGCTATGGGAGTGGAGTGTCAGTGTTGCACGGCAAGTTCCAGAAGTGTGTGAGTGCACCTTGGTGCGGGGCTGGTACTGCACACGGTCCCCCGAGAGGTCCGGGAACATGACCCCTCTTGACGTTCAGGCAAAAATAGATTACATGGATGGGCAACTGGAAGAGCAGGGTAAGGACTCTGTCCCTGGGGAGGAAAAACGTGTCGGGCAAGTTGCACACCTGGGGACCTGGAACCAACTCCCAGTTCTTAAGTGGGCAGGAAATCGGGGGCCAGGATGGTACCGGCTGCTCCTAGTAAAGGGGAAGAAACGAAGCTGGTGATCATTTGGTGTGTTCGAGAATGTGTGTCTCGTAGATCTGAGAATCTATTGAGTGACTCGTGGGTTTTTTTTTTTTTTCGGGACCTATAGAAAGGAAGAGAAAAGATAGATGAATCCACTGTGTTCTTGTAGGTTTTTCTTATCGTTTTATAGTGAAGGAGCTTTATCAGCGTCTGATAAAAAGCTATAAATTCTCTCTCTCTCTCCCTCTCTCCCCCCTTCTCTCTCTCATCTCTCTCTCTCAAAAATGCATGAATATACACACTTAGAAAAATGTTCATGGGATTTGGGGGTCAAGGACCTACCGAATGTCACCCAAGGATATCCATGAAAGTTAGCAACCCCCACTGTCTCCATGCGCTTTTAACCAAAACCTCCAATAATTTACATGCAGTCCAGTGGGGCAAATCTGCCTGCTGGGTTTTAGCCAGAACCAGCCCTTTCACAGTTGCTGCTGCCTGGCTTGATCTGAACCCCAATACTAAGTTTTATGAAGTTTCATTTTTGAGACAGTGATTCTGGATTTTCCCCTACATATGAGAAGCTGAGTTATGTTGGAGACTTGGTCATTTCCTCCCAACTGTGTAAACAGTGTCCTGTGATGATTTCTGAGGAGATGCTAGGAATAACCAGCAATAGGCTGCACTATTACATAATGTGAAAGTGAAATGCAGCTTTGGTCAGCGCCCAGCTCAACTGCAGGTGTCTGTCCATCTGAAAGTAATAGGAGAGCACTGAAGCTTGTGGACAACACATAGGCTTGCACTCTGACCTTGCAAAGGTGTTGTTGGATCTTGATGTTTGTTCGTTCCTTTAAAAAAATAGCCTTATTAAAGTATAGTTGACAGATAATAAAGTGCATATATTTAAATTGTGCAATTCAATAAGGTTAGAGGTAAATACTACACTCATGAGACCACATAATCCATTGCTACCGCCTGTCCTCATACTCTGCATAATCTTTACCACCCACCCCACCCTGCCTCCAGCAATTACTGTCAATAGTTTTGATACACTTTCTAGAATTTCATATAAATATATGAAATTATACAATAGATACTCTTTCTTGTTTGACTTCTTTCAGTATTTTTTCTGAGAATTCACGATATTGTAATGGTTGTGTATATAGTCCTGTGATGCTCAGGAAGGGGACCATAGTCTTATTTAAATCACTACTCTTGATGCCTACAATAAAATACCTGTCACATGGTAGGCATACCATAAAATTCTGTTGCTCATTTGAGTAAGATGCATATATGAAATTAGGCTTAAAGGAAAGTTCACAGATATTAAACTAACAGAATGATAGTTAAAGTCAAAATAAGATTTTATATTCCTGCTTATCTTTTTAAAATTAATTTATTTTTAATTTATTCTGATTTGTTATACATGATAACAGAATGCAGTTCATTTCATATTATACATATAGAGCACAATTTTTCAAGACACTGTACACAGAATATTTTCGCACCATTCATTTCTTATACATGTACTTAGGATAATGATGTCTAACTCATTCCACCATCTTTCTCACCATCTTGTCCCCTCCTTTCCCCTCCCTCGCCTTTGCTCTATCTAAAGTTCCTCCATTCTTCCCATGATCGCAGCACCGGCTCATCCCCATTATACCTGTGTGCATCTGAGTCCTCATATCAGGGAAAACATTCGGCTTTTGGTTTTCTGGGATTGGCTTGCTTCACTTAGCATTATATTCTCCAATTTCATCCATTTACCTGCAAATGTCATGATTTTATTCTCTTTTAATGCTAAATGTTCCATTGTGTATATATATCAAAGTTTCCCTATCCATTCATCTACTGAAGGGCATCTAGGTTTTTTGTCCCATAATTTAGCTATTGTAAATTGGGCTGCTATAAACGTTGTTATGGCTGTGTCCCTGTAGTATGCTGTTTTTAAGTCCTTTATGTATAAACCAAGGAGTAGGATAGCTGGGTCAAATGGTGGTTCCATTCCCAGTTTTCCAAGGAATCTTCATACAGCTTTCCAGATAGGTTGTACCAATTTGCAGTCCCACCAGCAATGTATGAGTGGGCCTTTCCTCCCACATCCTCACCCACACTTATTGTTTGTATTCTTAAGAATTGCCATTCTGACTGGAGTGAGATGAAATTTTAGAGTAATTTTGATTTGCATTTCTTTAATTGCTAGAGATGTTGAACATTTTTTCATATGTTTATTGATTGATTGTATATCCTCTTCCAAGAAGTGTCTGTTCAGTTCCCTGGCCCATTTATTCATTGGGTTATTTGTGTTTTGTTTGTTTTTTTGTTTTGGTGTTAAGGTTTTTGAGTTCTTTATATATCCTAGAGATTAGTGCTCTATCTGATGTGCTTGTAGAAAAGATTTGCTTCCATTCTGTAGGCTCTCTAGTCACCTCACTGATTGTTTCTTTTGCTGAGAAGCTTTTTAGTTTGAATCCATCTCATTTATTGATTCTTGTTTTTTTTAATTAATTGATTTATTTATATATGACAGCAGAATGCATTGCAATTCTTATTACACATATAGAGCACAATTTTGGTTGTATACAAAGTATATTCACACCAGTTCATGTCTTCATAATTCTTGTGCTATAGGAGTTTTATTAAGAA